GCAGTGGTGGCAACTCACGTTCGTGGCGGCAAGCTTGAGCCGCAAGGCCGATCTCACGGGGACCATCCTTCCCTCGAGATCGGATTAGCTCGAGGGATCGATACGACTCGAGGCCGATGTCGAGATAAAAGCTTAGTTATGGAGGGAACCTGGGGGGATGCACTTTCGATAACTAAGCAATAGGAAGCAGCAAAAAAGAGCTTGAATGCAAGGCACGATCAAAAAATGGAAAGAGGCATAGGCAGGTGCTGCATGTGGGGGTGCCATGCATCGTTGGCTTTTAATGCACCTTAAACACCCCCAACCACTAAAGCGATGCCCAAAAATGGAGAGCATCGAGAGCCTTGCCGAGCCGAGGGAATGGAGAAAGCTTGAGATCGCTGCACCGGAGGCTGCTGGTCGCCGGTTCGCGTTCCCCCTCCGACAGCAGCTCGCCCCTCTTCTGTGCATCACCAATAGATCTCGCGTGGTGTGAAGTGAGCGACGGTCTCTGTCTTCCCCGTGTTACAAAGTTGAGAGAATGTCATAAATATTGTATACGAAATCAAATCACATTCTACAACGTTGATTACTTATAGGCCTCGAATGGTCCCATGCATGAATAAGGACGATTCAAACGTTTGGATGACAAAGAATTATGACCTTTCCGAAGAATACTTCTCATCAACGACGAAAAGCAGCGAACGACCAACAAACCGCGACCTCAACTGGCGGCAATTAATGGCAGTGGCAGTGGCATTGGCATTGGTAACCAGAGTCGGCATTGGCAATCGGAGGCGCCGACTACCAGTGACAGACAATAGGGGTGTGCATCGGTTCCGATCCAACTTGAGAACCGGACTGGGCCGATTGATTTTGGATGGTTCTCGCATGAATTGGTCAAGTTCTCGATTCCAAATTTTTGAACCAGAAATAAGCGATCCAACCATACCAATCGGACCAGACTGGATTGAACTGGTGGAAACGGTCAAGAGTGAATATATATAGTAGAAACCACAAAAAAAAACCAATTTAAGATATCGTTAATCAAAGTTTGTTACCGCGTTTCTCGTGAAATTTTCACCCTCCGACCTGCCCACACAGAACAACTGATCCTGGAGCCGTTAGATGGAGACCCGCGCGAGAAGCACCGACTGTCGGATGTTTAGAGTCCGCTTTCTCTCCCCCCTAAAAAAAGCACCCACCGTTGTCACCGTCCTTCGTCGTCGTCGTCTTCTGGATCCCTCGGTTCTACGCAGAGCGCTCTCCGGCGATGTTGCACGGAGCCCTTCAGAAGAGGGCCGACAGGCTTGGGCAGAGAATGGAGGAGCTCGACCGCAGCATCGACGGCGTCACGGTCCGCTCCTTAGAGATCACGGCCCTCCACATCTTCTGCGTGTTCCGAATGGTGTCCGCCGTCGCCGCCGCCAAGTCGCGGTACATGATCTGCCAGTACGTGTGGGTGCCCGTGTCGCTGTCCCTCGTCATCTTCGCCGCCCACTGCTTCTGCTTCTCCAGCGATCTGCGGCGCCTGCGGAGGTACTCTGCGGAGATGGAGCGCGTCAGGGCAAAGCTGACCGCGGCTCGGCAGATGCTGCTCGAGCACTGCATGGATCACGAGGCCTCCTTGGCGGAGTTCCGGTTTGGCTCGACAACCCTGACTTGGATTAACCTGGTGTGCTTCGCGGTCACGTCCGCGATTCTCACGTGTGCCGTCATCCGGTACGCGATTTTCACGTGTGCAGCATAAGGTGATCGTTGAGGTTCTGTGGCAACCATCTTAGGACACCATCTTCACTTAGTATACCGCTTTTATAAATCGGTCTAATTAAATTACCCTAAATACATGGTAACACGCATTGTACGTCAGCTCCCTTGTCCTCCTCCACTTGGGCAACGCATCTATTAGGTATGTTAATTATTGCTTTGGGGGTCTCATATGCTTCGTGCCCTGTACATCGAGTCCTCTCAGCTCCGGTTCGAGCGAGTACCTTGAATTTCGATTTTGATACCTTAGTTCCTCCCAAATGTCTTCAACAATTGAAATTCGGAGCAGAACGTTCGAAATTAACAAGGCAGTGATTGTCTTTAACCATGACATCTAAAGATCACGATTGCATTTCTGGGCCTAGTGTAAAAGCAGGTGCTTACACCTTTCCACCCCGTGATAAATTTAACGAGATCTGCCCAAATTTTCTCTTTACCATCATGACAAATTCAACACGACCTTTCTATCCCGATGCGGCGCACACAACACGTGCGCGCGGGAGAGCCATTATCAGGTCATGTTGGGAAAAAATCGAATCCCCAGATGATTAGATGATTGCAATTTATAATGTGGTTATGTTTTTGCCTACTTTACAGTGATGGCCACAGAAAGAGGAGACGCGAAACGAAGCAACAAACCGAAATCGAAAGATTCAATCAAATCCAATAATTATAAAAAAAAAAAAAGGGGGAAGGAGGAAAAATTCGAAACAAATCTACAATTTTGTCTTCCTCGACCCGAAGACCGCCAAAACTGACCGTCTCCCGACGGGCCACCACCGCGGGCTAGAGGGGGAGGCCCACTGGCCCAGCGTTCAATCTCGTCGCCCCCCACTTCCCCTCCCTCGCACGTGCGTCCCCACCAGCGTCACACGTCACTCCCCCCCCCCAAACCAACCGCCCAATTAAAAACGAAACAGAGCAGAAAGCGAAGAAGGAGAAAAGCCGGGTGCGAAGAAAAGCTTCTAGAAGATCAGATACCTCCACTTTTCTTTCTTTCCTTTCTTTTCTTTTTTCACAAATATGACCCTGCATGTACAGTTAAATGTACACAAAATGCCATCTACAGAAAAGCCGGGTTCTCTTTAGGGTTTTGCTTTAGGTCTCTGACTTCAATCGACAGTCTCCTCAGCTACTTTGATTCCATGTCAAGTAACCGTTGTGTTCATGTCATGGCATTCGCCTCGGCGGAAACACCACAAATATGATCATCGTGGTTCAGTGAAATGAAATGGGAATACTGATCTTGGGTCTCTCTCTTTTATCTTCTTTTCTTCCCAATATCATGCGGTCTATGTGATTTTCTCTCTAATTTTTGGCACCAACGCAGGTTTATCTTCATGATTACACAGTTTGGTCTTCTGGGGTTTAATACTCGGCGACGGATGAAGTGTGGGTGTTCATATCTCAAATGAGAAAAGCAGGAAGATTGCTTTAGACACATCATGGTCACGGTTGTTTTAGTGTTGAAAATGATCAAATGATCGAATTGTTAGTGTTAATTCATAGGTCGCATGATTCTTAGCGCACCGCCAACGGACAATATTCAAATCCTGAGCTTCCTTAAACTTTTGAAAGGCTTAATATAAGTGACAATTGCGCATCGTAATGCTGTGATAGAATCGCGCCATAGTAGTAACTCTGGCACACTCAATAAGGTAGTCCAGTTGCCCGAATCTCTCTCTCTAACTCGAGCCCTAAGTAATGGTAGGGCTTAAGCTGCCGAGAATCGTGCATCTCGATGCGTAGTCACGAACCTGCACAATACAGAAAAGGCAACCCTCGAGTTCTGGGCCTTAGCTCGCTAGTCTCTAGTTAAGGGTTACTCGCGAAGGACCTATTTTGCGAGTCCATATGTATCATGGCATCACCGGTTAAGAGCCGTCGTCTTGGAGGTCTATATGAAGTTATTACAGTACAAATAGTTTGGTGAATTGCGTGGATGTACCAAAAGCTCAAACGACAGATTCATCACACAGCTCAAGGTTCATGTCACTGGCCATCAGGCTCCTTTTCATGATGAGGATTACAAGAGATTCCACTGTTCCTAATTTCCTAGTTCGAGCTTTTCATCTGCAGCTGCCCCAGGTCTGGAATGTCTGCACGTCTAGCATGTAGTAATGATGCCGGATAAACAATTACAATGTGGCTGCGGAAAGTCCGCCTTTTCGCTAATGTATGTATAATGGCCGACCAAAATGGACCACGCGATTTACAGCTGAAGAACAGGGACCGCGAACAAACCTCACATCTTACACTTCCCACGGATGGTTCAAAAGATTGCAAAACCAAATCGGGGCAAGCAAATATATCACCCGGACACGACACCTTGCAGAATGCACTAAAGATTAGGCTAGCTTAGCAATTCACTGGGGCCATTTCCTGCTTCGGCTGCCGGGGCTACTGATGATGCTCCTTGTATTGCTTGACTCCGGTGGACTAGGCCCGCTTCTCTGACCATATACACTTCCCCGGTGACCTGAACTCGAATCACGCCCTCTCTGGACCTCCATCTCCAAACTCTTTGCTTCATCCACCAGCTTCAGTATCTGTTTGAAAGGCAAGTAGTCTCTACAGACATTAGAAGACATTTTCGGAGCATAAATGGTGTAATGAGGGGTCGAAAACGGATCACTCAATAACAAGCTATTGAAACTTGACTTCAAAGAGTTCCCTTTCAACTGTTAATATTGAGAGAAACAAACAAAATTCATGAGCAGACTTGAGGTTTTTCAGCAAGACTGTTGACTGATCCTCACTGTCCCATAATATCTGAATGTAGGTTAGTTATTTACCCAAATCTCGTTCTCTATCACACGATCCTGAAATACTCTAATGGCAGGGCTTAAACTGCAAAAAAAAAAAACTAACGAAAAAGAGATGTGCATTCAGTACAAATCAACAGTGACACAAAATCAATGGGCATCAAAGGTAATAGATTCTCGCCAGTATTCTGTTAACTTGCACATGGAAGCCTGATACGTTGAGGTGTGATGAATAAAAGTAAGCGGATGTGCTTTCCCATCCCTAGATGGAAAATAAGCGCGGAAAGTCAAAATAAATGCCGCAAGGTGAACAGTAACAGAAACACAATGCTTGAAAGTGGCGGTACTCAAGTCCCACATCATATTTTGTCTGATGGCTTCAACATATGCTGCCCTTTCCTCTTCATAAATGACACGTTGCAGGTCCGTAAATGAAGTTAGAGGTGAAAACGCCCAAGACAGGTGGAATCGGAACGCAGAAGTGGCCCAAAAAAGGTAAAGAATGAATGGAGAAAAAGATAAAGTGCAAAAGGAAAGGATAATTAAGTGCCGAGTACATACTCATGTATACCTCATGTCCAAGTTTGACCTATGCATAGCCTCTTGCATGCTTTCTGTCATATCCATGGGATCTATAGCAACAATGGCGGTGCTGCTTGGATTTCCATTGCGATAATTTTCACCAATTATCTCTCTTCCGAGATAATTGGTATCAGCGTCAGCAAAGAAACCCCCCAAGTCCGATGACCTTCCCCGCCCCTAGAAGTTCATGCGAAATATCATTCATCAAGCTATGTTACCATAAACTACCATTAGATAGAATAATTGATAGACCACAATCTAATGAGGTGACTGCCTTACAGTTCCTTGACTCCAATCCTGTTGGCTTTACGTTAAATTGTAACCCACCTTCTTAGTTCCAGCAGAGATTCTGGAATCGCCAGTGTCCACTTCGGGGTTCTCCCCCCTTCCAGAGTTAGATCGTGCCAACAAATTCTCGGAGGAACTCAAAGATGATTCCAAGTCTATGACCGAACTTCTATTAACCGGAGATAGAGGGATAGGTCTTGATATCTGGTTTTGCTTCCCATCTGAAGATTGGAAAGCTATGACTTGAATTCTCCCAACCTGAAAACCCATAACATTGCAGTCAAATTGCTTTAAACTATCCACAACCTATTTATCAAATGAACTGTTTAACCGATTTGAAAGCTGCAAAACGTGTTGAGGGAAACTTAAAGAGTCCACATACCTTGTTAATATCCTCGCTAAAGCAGGAAAATATCAACCCAATGAATCCATAATCTAGGAGTTGATACATTGCATGTGTCCGTACATCTGCACAAAGTAGCACTCAAAAACCATCTTTGGAAAAAACCTGAGAAAACGCTATCAAGTTTGAATGAAAACGGCCTCATTCAATTCCCGAATCAAGTAAAGTAAATCATAAACTAGTGAAACGTGGTGAGGCCCTGGTGCAGCAATATAGAGAGGTGCCAATGCTTTGTCCTTATAGAAATAATATCTCATGCTTGATGTGCATTTCATTATTAATTTACTCCACAAAAAGTAGCAATTCGCAATGCTTACCAACATGGGACGGTAGAACCGTTCTATGTGGGTGCGAATGGTACCATCCAATTACTCTTGTTGTTCTTCCCGTTGACATGGTCATCTCGTGCTGTCTAGTCTAGTTAACCAAGAACATGATTGGCAAGATCCAAACAAGCAGCTAGCAATGTGCGATAGCGAGTAATAATTAAATTTGTATATTTTAAATTACCATAGCATAATGGGCAAGAAACAGTTTTTGGTCCTTTTAATTAGAATCAACTACAGCAGATTCAGCTTGTCGAAAGCAAACTATGTTGATAAAAAAATTGCCACGTTAGACTTCCTCCTTTGGTAGACTTGCATACATCCCCATTGTTCCGATTATGTGATTTATATAGGGTATTGATATTTTTAGTAAGTTGAGAGCAAAAGCTCCCCTAGATGGAATCAAATCAACAAATTTAACCATCAGAAACACGTACCTTCTCAAATCTTTTTACAATCTAGCCATAAAAGTCACAAAAATGTTGCCAAAAACAACAACAGAAAAAAAACATGATGATACATCTTATGACCTGCTAAAACAAGAAGACTGATGAAGAAACTCATGCAATTTTTGTTCATTACAGAATATGAAATCTATATAGGCAAATTAATGTTGAGCTCAAGAGATGAAGGCTTTAAAGGGGTTGATGAGCGAGTAAGGAAACAGAAAGAATATTTCAGCCAGCGCCGATGCAGCAGCCAACTGTTTGGGATTTGTCTCAACACGATCTTTTTGCCGGTCATATCGTTTTTTGAAGCGATGCACCCCAAATTAGTGCTGTGATAGTCCCCTTTTTTGAGTGCTGCAACATAAGAAACAAACTATCATAATAATTCTAGTAAAACCAAAAGAATATGGAATGGTAAGAAGAATGCACATGGAATTTCATTCTAAGCTGTAGATCAGCTAAATATGGTCTATTCTTGCTCCAAAGCAAGGAGATAAACGACCGGTTCTCCTAGATATATCTAAATTTCAGTGCAACACTCAGTTATAGCTGCTTTACGAGTTTTGAAAATAAATAAAATAAAATAAAATCGAGAACCCCGTTTATCCCCCAATGAATCCATGGCAACCCGACCTACGTAAGAGGCTTCACTTAACTACAGTTAGCTGACCGTGGCTGACCACATGTTGTCACTTTCAAATCCCGGGGCCAAAAATGAAAATGATAAGGATCTCCAAATAACAGAGAATTACCGAGCGTTATTCCAGGTCGACCGAATGTCAATTTGACCACAGAAACCAACCAAAGAAAACAAGGAATAGATGAGGCTAAACAATGAGTAAAAAATGTATAGACATTGACACCTTCAAGCAACTAAGCCCCCTTCCAGGAATGAACAGGTCAATCTGATATTTAGACCCAACTAAGTGCCGATTTTGCATGTCGTCTACACACTAATCCATCGCAGAACTACAAAAGCTAAAGGAAAATGTTCTGGTGCTACAATATGAGTCATCTGTTATTATGTCTTGAATCATTTTTTCTTGTAAAGTGCAATAGGAGTATCATTACCAAAATGCATCCCGAGCCCCCAAAAGGAACCAGTTCGCACAGGTCTGCTTCGTGTAAGAGGTCAAATTACCAAGTTCGCTATTCTCATCACTTAACTGACCTCAATTCCATGATATACTATTCAATAGCATTTCCCACAGCCAAAGAGTTGATGCGTTGTCCCTCGTGCACTTGATGCCAAGCACTTTTCAGAATGACACACAAGGTCTCATTAACTTCTTCAAAACAGAGATATTCTTGACAATATCAAAACATCTCACTGCATATACAAGTTTGGGCTTTTCTTTTATTTTTTTTACTTTTGCCTTCACAACCGAGTTTTGGTACGAACACCTTAACTCCAGCCTCCAGCAATGCATGTAATCCCACACGACTGCCGAGATAAAGAAAAGAAAGCCACGATATTCTAGATGAAAATTAGATTGAAAGGAAAAATTATGGCGGTCGAAGCAGAATATGGCCTAATTCGTCAGTTTTCCAGTTCATCCGAATATGAACTAACATTGAAGTGAGCACACTAACTGACATACAATCTTGCAAGCTAGCAATTCTTCCAAAGTAGGAACTTAACGAGAGAGCGAAAATGGGGGAGAAAAAAGAACGTTTTCACAGATAATCGCCTATTGCCCTGCATCCATAGACAGAGTTATTACTCGAAACGCGGCACGAAAATATTCATCCAAATAGCAAAAGACAGAACCCCAAAATCCGAACGTCATCGACCTAGCTCAAACAAGGTTGCCAATTCACCGCAAATCCACCTCCTCTGAGACGACACCCAACCGATTAAACGAATAAAAAATCGAACTTTGCCTTTCGATTCAACGGTCGAGGCGTAATTGTTGCCGCTAATCGGGACAAGCACTCATATCGATCACGGGTCGTCCAAAATGGATCTGCGGGGACAGCCAAAAATGCTTTTTTTTTTCTTTTTTCTAAAGAAAAATCGCTTGGAATCCTATTTCCACTTCGCTCATCGTCATCCAGAAATCAGTACCGCGCGTCATCGACCCATTTCTGCTACACGCGAATCGGTTGCGGGGAAAAGGAAAGGGAGACAAGTAAAGAATGCGGAAGCACGAAGACAAGAGCGGCTCTTGAATCAGGAGAGCTCACCTCGACGTCGCCGAGGAGGAGGCCCATGATCTCTTCGGTCGAACTCTAATAAAAGTTTTTCAATTTAGTTATTGGGTAATCAAATTCTAAGGTTCATGTTAACTAATTATAAATTTTCCTATAAATTTATGATGGAGTAAAAAATTTTACCCTGTTAATATCTATGTGACCGAAAGTTTTTAGGACCTTTGCCCCCACACAAACAACTCCTTCTATTATCAACCAAACAGTCCGCCGCCTAGTCATCAACCAAGAATATTAGTGGATGTTTTTGGGCATGTGGGGTTAAAAAACACCCGTTATTGCTGGACAAATCATGGTACGGTCACCTTCTCCTTTTCCACATGGCCATGGCAAAGCTGGCGAGATCCGATATTTGCTCCATTCTCCATCCTCAAATAGGTGAATGATGTTGACATCGGAGAGACGGACGCAACAATGATGAAGTCCTCAGCTACGCTCATATTTATGTGTTCTTTATTCGTAACTAGTTGTGTAGGTCCTACGGGCAAGACGTATGTTGAGATCAATAATAATTTGTCGGCTGGAACAACTCTGATGGTTCATTGCAAATCCATGAACAACGATATCAGAAATTTTGATATAACGCACAGCTGGGAATTCGCATTCACACCCAATTTCGTTGGGGGCGTTATTCTTTTGCGGTTTTGCATCGGTTTAATATATATAAGTAGAGCAGGGACTCGCATGATTGCAACTTGTGTCATTAGAGGATCACGCCCAATGGTCCTTGTAGGGTCAATGACTCCAGAGAGTTTGATGTGATGTGAGGCTCGGCGACACGAGTTTCACGTAAGAGGTTTCTTCCCATTTCATGGATAACAAACATCAAACTCTCAATCACTGAGCCTATCATTGGACGAGATCCTCCAAATACATGAGTTGGAATCATGCCAATCCCTGCTTTGCTCAAGTATACTAAGCCACTCAAATTGACCTACCATGCAAAGCTTCAAAAGAACAGTGTCCCCCCGAAAGATATTGGCTTTGAATGTGAATCCCAACTGCGCGTTATGTCATAGATTCCGAGATCATTGTTCTTATATTTGCAACGAACTGTTAGAGTAGTTTCAGCCGGCAAATTGCTATTGATCTCGTCATACCTACCGCACACAAGTTAGAGCGGAATGCATCATACAGCTCCACATTTGGCCACTGCAAATCACCACCAGTTCTTCAAATGATGCACCCTGTTGATACGATCAAGAGGAGGATTCAAAATCAAGCAATTCTCACTGGGAGTCAGCTCGCCCAAGAATATGCAGAGGAGTCCCTGGACGATCCTTGCAATTAGTGATTTTGTCCATGCTGAGTTGCTGGTAACATGCTCAGGTTATCCTGCTCAGTAACAAATGCGAAGAGCTCTTCCACAAGATGCATCGATCCTTCATTCTGTTGACCGTGTAGCCCCTGCCCGCCCGAAGTTTTCGGGAGCCACCCTGCATCGGGTTTCAATTGCAGATTTGGCGGACTCTCGCGCAGAGAGTGGGCTGTTCGTGCACGCGCAGTTCAGAGGCTATTCCATTGGTCCGCGACTTATATTTCAGCAAGAAAACCCACACAACCTTTGACCTGCCCCACACTCGTCTCTTTTGAATAACGCACACAGTACCATTGCGCTGCCCGTCGTCTCTGACACCACTGGAGTTGTCATGGTGCGGCTGCCTCCTTCTGCACATCTGGATCAGATTCCTCTGTTTCGTCGATGTCTCTCGACATGATGTTCAATGTTGCCGCGTCGCTATCACCCGCCCTGTCACTACCACGATCCCATAGAGGGTGACTGCTGAACATCACCCGGGTTTACTTGTCGAAAGTGCTCTAATTCTCAAAGCAGAATCTAGCTGAGTAAAAGCTGGTGACTTGGAGCACGTTCCTCAGACGAATTTTAAAGAGAAAGAAAAACAAACACATTCAGCTGAGTGTTCTTCAAGCAGAGTCGCCAGTCCAGCATGTTTGATTTGTCTTCACAAGACCATGACCATGGTGATGCCTCTCCAGACTTCTCCAAACAAGATTAGGGGGTCGCAACAATCAGGTTGTTTCTTTCTCTGGGTTGATTTCGCGTTCCGTATTGGTCTTTTGATTTTGCTTTTTTTTGTTCCAGTAGTGTCGTTGCAATTCACATGATGCCATGGTCGAGCCGGAGCCATCGCCACAGTGCCGGAATCCCACCGCCGCTCCCAGATTGCCTCTAAGTGTCATTGTGAGTCATCAGACCGAGTCGCTTAGACCACGCCACGATTAATTTCGTGTTTACATTGCACATAATTTACGTATGTCATATTTCATGAAAAAAAAAATCATTCAAGGCACATAGACATCTGTTACATTTTAGATTTTGCATATTAGGGGCATCTTTAACAGAACAACTTGTAGATTACTTAGGTGTTCTAGATTTAGGAAATTGTATCTTGAATAATTGCATATTTAGAAAAAAAAAAAAAGGAAAAGGAATTGCTTGTTGTGAGACCAACTCAGGAATAGGACCGGTCAGTCAGTCCCGGTTCGATTTGAGGTAGGAACTGACCTATCCTAAAACCGATCACCTCTAGTTGGGCTAACAATTCTTGTCGTGTCTAAAATGAACTACTTATATACGAGCAGGGCACATCAGCCAACGCTACCACCAAGTTAGTCTCGACTGCCTCTAAAATAATGAGTTTTTGTGCCAAAGTCGCTGCCCGTGATAACAATGAGTTGAGGCACATTTTGATGTGAATTGGGCAAACAAGAATGCTCCATCCTTGATTCAATGCAAAACCTCCCAAGCTCGAGTGTATGATTCTAGGATCGATCATCAATATTTTCCGGGAAAAGAATAACATCATTCGGACCCCTTTCTTGATTACCTATATTTGTCCAACTTATGTTGTAACTCGAGCAGCGACCCCTTTCTTGAAAACCCTCCTTATTCTGGCTTCTTTGAACTTTGTAAATAAGCCATTTTTTTATGCGAAATATTTCCTGTATTCTTAGCTCGATCAATTGCTTGCTAGTTAGCTTCGTAAGTGCCAAGGCTTCCCCACCGCGGAGCCGGTGGCCTCGTCCACCAGGCACTTCGATCCGATCCTATAATTAACTGACGAACTCCTCCGCGTGATCACATGACACCCGGCACAACTCGCAGTGCTGGTTGAAAGTTCTCCAGGGCAGCGTCGACGGCGGCTATTTCTGTCACGCCCCGAACCCCAACGGGCACGCGACATCCGCCACCGGTCGATTTGTGCGATGTCTCAGGAATGTCGCCGACCTCAAATCACCATCAGAGATTTACAACCACAGCGGATACTAACAATTAATCCCTAACAAATAAAACTGGGGAGAATAGGGAGAATGTATATTTTCATTTTCCATTGCCAAACTTAGACCATAATATTTACAGTTACAAAGCCACCACATATGCAAGTACCCCAAAAACTACAAGTCACTAAATATGCAGGTACACACCGAACTACATCTACAAACACTATGGAAGTGTGCTTAATCCAGGTAAAGTTATCGCCCATCGGAAACTCTGCAATGTCCAACTCGGTGTGCACGGGTACCCCAAAACGCTCTGGTGACGGTGGTGGAGGATTCATGGCTCAGGTCGGGGTTCTGAAATTATCGGTTGAAACAACCGTGAGAACACTTCTCAGTAAGTTCACCCCTAAACCCCACCTAAGCTATTACGTA